ATTAAATAAAAAAACGAATGATCGAATGATACACGGATTAAAACTGCTTGGCTAACGCTATTTTTCCACTTGTCGGTGCTCTATTGTTCTTTCATGTTAAGTCAAGGCAAATACGAATGATGCTTTAATCAACAAGTACAACTGACCATGACATCCTCACCTTTTCTTATTCCAGAAAAGTCGTTCACCCAATGCCTAATGGAGCTGTACATGAATGTTGGGGTTGAGGGAAGGGGGCATGTCTGAACTAGTTGATGCATGAAATCCGCACCTAACTGGTGGGGTGAACTAATGAGCATTACTGTCTTGTCACTGTTTAGACAAAAAAAGTGTCAAATTTCTAGACATCAATTTTTAATCACAGAAATACACAGAGAAAGAAAGGACCCAGCCACATTAACATCAGGCTTTGAATGTATATAAACCTGGGTGACATCTGTGTTAAAGTAAAAGTTGATACCAAGTAAAAGTTGACCAAGAGGATAAATGTAGATGCTAAAAAGGGCCCTTAATTGATCCTTGAGGAACACCAGATTGCACAACACCAATATCAGACCTGCAACCACCGACAGCTACAAACTGCTTTCAATCTAAAAGATAGGACTTAAACCAGCTTAGTGCAGTATCAGAAACACCAAAAGACAGACTCTAGTCAGTAAGTAAATTTGAATGATCAACAGTGTCGAAAGCGGCACTGAGATCAAGAAGAATCAAAATAGAAAGGCAGCCAGAATCAGTAGTGACCTTAACTAATGCTGTTTCAGTGCTGTGGAGTTTATGAAATCCCAGTTGAAGACTAATCAATTACTAAACACCAGATATCAGCTAATGAATGTCAATGCTTTGATATGTCTGCATGATGCTGATACTTACACAATAGATCAAATATCCAAAGATGAACTAGCAAATATTAACACTTTTTTTTTAACTTTCACTTTTCATTATTGTCACTCAGAAATTTCTAGTAAAACAATTACAAAGAAACAGCAGGCAACACATTGAAGTGAATATGAAAAAGTTTTTTTTTTTCTGTAAAACCTACTACTCCAATAATTTGTTTTATTCACAACTTCTAAAAACCTTTTTGTGTGTATGTGTAATCAGTCCTTTCCTCCTGTACTCAAATGCACCAGACTCATACTCAGCCTTCCCATTTACAGTGTGGGCTGATATGTCATAAGTGTCTAATAAACACAGTACTTAGGAATATAATTCTAGATACCAAAAAAATGTCAAAGAATCATTCTTCAATAAATAATTAACTCCGTTCAAACCTTACTCCGTTCTCTAAATGATTCGTTTGTGACAGAGACGGTTCTCGAGTGATAACGTCTAATGCAGTAACTGATATCAAATTCAACCTTATTGCAAAGTGTTATAATTTAATGTTCTGCTTATTAATGTAAAATGAACAGACCTGTATATCACTGAATCATTTATTCTGCAGGGTGATTTACACCACTAACACAAATGTTTGCTACTCAAAAGTGTTACGGAGAGCCGTGAAAACATGAAGTGCACTTCTGCTGTCTAGTCTATCAAGCATTTTCCCATGAACACACTGTGCTACATGATATGGGGCCTGTCAAAAATGATATATGCACCAAAATACAAGGGCAGAAAATAAACATTTTGGTACAAGCTTGAACAAAGTCTCAAAGGAAGGGTTGACAGTTTATATCGAAACATGACAAAACTACATTCTTAAATGGTTTTCCTTATATGTAAAAGTCTCACATCCTGTTCACACTACATAATACAACCAGATTATGTGTTTTGTTATTTGTTCTATAACACAGGTTTCTTTTCATACAGATTAACCTGTCCCACACCTTCGTATGGAAAAACTTAAAGCAATAAAACATCATAGGTTGCAAGTGGTGCAAGATATCGATGAGCTTCAGAGCTTACTGTAAAACAGATATCACGCTGAAAAAAAGTGGAGTTTCCTGCTTTACAGTGCCAAAGACTTACTCACAAGATTAGATGTTCAAAGAAAAAAATAATTCAAAGACACAAAGCCATTATGTCTTCATATTTATTTAGAAAATACAATCACATTATGATGGATGTAGAGTATATTTTACATCACAAATATAATCAACAGTCATAGCAGGCACCACAATAAGCTTATGAATATCCCTTGTAAATTTGACTTTGGTGAATGTAAATTGCCACTTTTCACTGCAGACTACACAGCGATCAAATGTCAGATTGTGAAATAGCTGGTGAAGCCATTTAAAATGACTGTACACCCAAAACACGTGAATTAAATAAAAACGTCTTCCCTCTCTATCTCCTAAAGAAAAAATAACACACATGGTCCCTAGCAAACAACCATCACCAAAACAGCACAAAGTTATTGCAATTTTAAAATAACATTATTGGTTGCCATCTCAATTGTGATATTGCACAAATGATCAAACGATTCACAAGAAATAACAGTTATTGCGAACGAAAAAGGTGCATATGGCTCTCTTTAAACAGTCAAAACGCCCACAACCTTCACCAGAAACTTATTACTGTGAATCATTTTGAGAGCATGTGCTGTCAGAGAAGAAATATTTCATATCAAAGAAAGAAGAAAAATCTCTAGATTTTGGGGTGGATTTGTCGAAATATCTTTGATGCCACAGTACTTTAAAAGAGGAAGACCTATGACTGGATAAAGCTGACAGTCAGCTTGACAGTGTTTCAAAAGTCTCTTTCAACTGATCAACCAGCCTGAAAGGGTTGAACAGAATGTGAGAAATTCTCATTAAAAACACATGCAGACATACACATGCTGATAAAAAAAAGAAGAAGAAAGAAACGGAAATGACAGAATTGACATCTGCCTGATACTGAGACTAAAGAGAAAAAAAATGTGGAATGAAAATGAACTGGAAAAAAATACACTATTATTATCACATATACAGTATAATGCACAATATGGAGAGACACTGTAAAATAGTTATCAAACATTATATTGTTTCTATATGTGATCCTGGACCACAAAACCAGTCATAAGGGTCAATTTTTCGAAATTGAGATTTATACATCATAACATAACATAAACAAGCTTTCCATTGATGTATGGTTTGTTAGGATACGACAATATTTGGCCGAGATACAACTATTTGAAAATCTGGAATCCGAGGGTGCAAAAAAATCAAACTATTGCCCCAGCGACTTAAGACTGATTTTGTGGTCCAGGGTCACATATAATCTTTATTTTTCCTATTCAGTTCTTCTGCATAACCAGTGGAATGTAATAAGATATAATATATATCTAAAAATATGTAGACACTTGGAAAGAATGGGGTTGGCTATTCCAGACATGAGGACAAATGTTAACTGTTGCCGCAATGTTGGAAGCCAATTTTCTATAATGTCAGTGCATGTGTAGCATTAAGACTGTGCTCAGTGGAATTAAAGGAATAGCCAAACCTGGTTATAAGAGCGTCCATATATTTTTGGCCATATAAACATACATGAAGAAGTAGTAGAATGACAAAGTTATTTTCAATTGTCAACAACTAAGTCTCATAATTGTAAAAAGTCCATGCAAAAACACGAATGGGAAAGTCATCCCCCCCTTCTTACTCACTTAATTGAGATAATTATTTGAAAATTTCAACATCTTCCTCCACTAACACAAAAGGTTGCATCAGTGCTTTGATAACACCATGTTTTTTGCACATGTACATGGCAAGACCAAGAAATTCTAGAAGTACTCTTAAAGGAACAGTTCACAGCTCGAAATGAAAATTTGCTAAAAACTTACACTCAGGCCACCCAAGATGTAGATGTTTATTACAAACACAGTTTTTCTCTTCACAAGATGTTAACTGATGGACTGGAATTGTGAGAATTTCTTGGATTATTGTGATATATGGCACCCATTCACTGCAGAGGATCTATTGGTGAGCAAGTGATGTAATGCTAAATTTCTCTATATCTGTTCTGATGAAGAAACAAACTATATTTTGGATGGCCTAAAAGGGAGTACATTTTCAGCAAATGTTCATTTTTGGCTGAACTATTTCTTTAAGCACCATGTAAAGACTGTGGTACATAACTGGTTATCACTCAGTACAATGACATATTAAAGTGCCATGATTAGTAATATTATAAGAGTACTTCTTAGTCCAGTCTGAGAGTGACAACTCAGCAGAACTTTAGTCAAAATTATGGCCAACATGGTGCAATTTACACCTGCTTAATGCTACCAAATGGTCATTATGACAGGTTCTCCTGTGATATATGGCAACAATTTGCAGCATATCATGTGATTTATGGCTCTATGATTACAGCTGTGGCTTTAACCCAATTAAAAAACCAGCAAATTTGAATAAGACCGTAGCAAAATACAGCAAACTTCTACAGACCAATAAGACTGCGTCAAAAAGTGCAATAAAATTTAACAGTGGTTAACACGGTCACAAAAAAAGCACAGAAAAATAAACAATTTCACTCTTTTGAGACACAAACACAGAACAGAGCTTTAAAACACACAAAATACTTTTTCAGAGGATAGATATCAGTGTAATGAGGAACCCTATACAACCCTTCAGAGATAACAGAACTACTCCCCTGTGAATGTCTATTGAGGACGCCGCATACCCTAAAGGTATTAGATCTGCACTGAAATTTCAAATCCTATTCCCTTGTTTAATTAAATATTCATTCATGAAGAGCTTTTCATGTTAATTAGAGATCTGGCTGGTGTTTAATTAAAATGGAAGCCAAATCTTCAAGACGATGCCTAGTGTTGCAGGTGTTATAAAAATGTAGTATCACAATGGTGAGGTTTTATTCTGTAATCAAGAACACTGATGTTAGAAGCCAGAGGTCGCCCCATCCATCCTCCTTTGATAAGGACCAATCCTCAAAAGAGCAGAACAGGATTGGCAGCTGATTCATTAAGACTGGAATAATCTATCACAGTACTGACTGAAGAAGTAGAGTTAAAGTAAAAAAAAGTTAAAGTAGAGTTAGAGCTGAAGAAGTTTAAATAACTTCAAGTGATGGAAAACAAGTGAAACCTGTTTACACTTCTCCAACTTAAACTCATGTATCTGTTTTAATGTGAACCTAAAACCTTGGATATTACTGGCAGAAGATATGTGACTTTACATTCAAGAAAACGTGATAAACTCATGCACATAAAGCAACTTGACAGACATTAAGGAATTATTACCAGCATACTGGCAGCAAACAAATGTGTCTAGATCCTCAAATAATGGGGACCTCAGTCTTAGCTTCTCATTGAAGCTGTCCAATCGTGCTTTGCAACATGACTGGAGACAACCAGAGCATCTCAACCAAATTATACTGCCAGTAGCCCATGAGGAAACCAAACGTGACATCCGTCACGTGATGGCGTCCAAGGAGAACTCTAGAAAAACCAACAAATGTGGCCCAGAGCAGGACAAGAACGCGGAGTGGGGCCGCCAGCACCAGATGGGCCAATAGAAAGCGGGCACACATTGCAGCACGTGTGGCATGGCCTGATGGGAAGGAATAGCCGTCCACAGAGAACGTGGCAAACATGTCCATACGGTTATGGGCAGGACGTCGCCGCCGTACTACAGCTTTCATCACGCCGACCAGGACCAGGTCCAGAACCAAGGCTGAAAAATAAATTATGAAAACGTAAGTCAGGCGAACTTGTATCCAACCTAAATATTAAAGGGATAGTTCACCCAAAAATTTTAATTACCCCATGATTTACTCGCCCTCAAGTCAGTGTACATGACTTTCTTCTTTCAGACAAATACAATTGAAGTTATATGAAAAAAAAATGTCCCGGCTCATCCAAGCTTTGTAATGGCAGTGAATGGTAGTCAAGATTTTGAAGCAAAATAAAGTGCATAAATCTATTATAAAAAGTTCTCCACATGGCTCGGGGGAGTTAATAAAAAAGCCTTCTGAAGTGAATTGATGCGTTTGTGTAAGAAAACTATCCATATTTAAAACTTTATAAACTTTAATGTCTAGCTTTCGCTAACTGTCGTACGCATGTTCACAAGAGAGTGGCGTTCCATCGGATGACATAGGACTAGGGCTGTGCAATTAATCGCATGTGATTGTCAAGCGCATCTTGTCAGTAAAGCCGGTTCCGTGATTGGTAGTAAATCTCCATCACTTGCTTTCAGATTGAGCGGCATTTACTACACAGAGCCGTAGTTCACTGACAAGCTACACAAAATCACGTTCATAATGAATCGCAGATGAACACCGGCCCTCCAGGACCGAGTTTGGGCAGCCCTGGTGTAGTAAATGCCGCTCAATCTGAAAGCAGGTGATGGGAGATTTACTACCAAGCACAGCATAAGCTCCGGTGAGAAGTGACGAACACAGAGCAAAACAAAACACTGGTCACAAATAGTACAAAACGAGGATTTGTAAAGAAAAATGTTGGAAGATTTTGATATAAACCAAGAGGAAACTGGTTTTCCTTTGCTGTAAACAAAACTTGGTTCTCACGATACTAGCTTATGCCACTCTCTCATGAATGTGCGTACAACAGTTGGCGGAAGCTAGAGATTACGGTTTATAAAGTTTTAAATATGGATATAACACAAATGCATTGATTCACTTCAGAAGGCCTTTATTAACCCCCTGGAGCCGTATGGAGCACTTTTTTATGATGGATGAACGCACTCTCTTTTGTTTCAAAATCTCGACTCCTATTCAATGACTAGCGATATGCCGGCATCAAATTTTCATGTTGTGATTAATTGCTAATGTTTTTATCACGGTATACGGTATTATCACGGTATTGAAATTTAGTTTAAAAAAAGTGCTGTCATAATACAGTATAACAGGTTTCGTTAAAGTAAACAGATGCGCTTTCATCCAGAGCGTCTCTCACATGTTCCGCCATGTGCTTCTCGTCCGCGCTTATTTACATCAGATTGCGCATGCGTCTTTCATGCAGCATACAGAGGTGTTGTGCATTTTGACCAGTTGATGGGAAAAGTATTCTTAAAATGCATTCACAATTCTGAATAATTTGTAATATATAATTATTCACGGTATGTAGAAGTGCCCACGATAACAATATCGTGCATATTCATTACTGTGATATATCGCATTACCGAATACCGGCACAAGTCTATCACTGACATTACAAAGCTTGGAAGAGCCAGGACATTTTTTTAATACAACTTTGTATTTGTCTGAAAGAAGAAAATCATACCTAGGATGGCTTGAGGGTGAGTAAATCATGGGGTAATTTTCATTTTTGGGTGAACTACCCCTTTAAGGCCAGTTCACACTGCATCAACAGACGCAGACCTAGCCAAGAGTCATGAGATTGCAACCAGAAAAACAAATGCAGATCAACGGCTACAGACGTTGAAAGGAGTAATGTACTGATCCAACAAAACCTGATGAACATGTTTGTTGCCGTTTGTCTCCATCTGTCATGCAATGTGAATTGGCCTTTATAGGATGCCTTAATAAAACGTGTTTGAAAATGTGTTTGTAGCTATGTCACAACATACACATTTGCATTAAGCCCACCTAATAGCTGCTTTGGCCTGTCCTCAAAGAATAGTTGGGTAAGCGATTTTGCTAAGTTAAGGAGATGCTGCAAGGCCAAAAAGCATTGTATGATCCTCCACTACTCATGCCACAGTTAGCAAATATAATCCTGTTTACAGCTGCTCATGAAGCCGTGGGAACTGAGACCCGATAATGGTAAGGAGCATTACATTTTCAACACGCATTCTAAGTGGCTGACCAATCACAACACACTGGGCCAGCTGACCAACCAGAGCAGACTGGGCTTTTCAGAAAGGCGGGCTTTAAAGAGACCAAAAACATTTCAGGCAGTGGGAGTTTCTGGCACTTTCTTTTAATGCAAACTAATTCTTAGAGCTAATGTATCACTTGTGTTTTATAGGTCCTGTTGATGGGAACCATTTCACCAATCATGGTCAACTACAACTGGTCACACAGAAGACATTTTTCCACAGTGATGAGTGGAACGATCTTTTCAGAATACTTTATGATTGATTACAGCTGCCTCTGAACACAAGGCATTGTGATTAAAAATTAAATGTTAAAAATTAAATGTAAAAGATGTTAAATTGGGCGAAGACGTTGTAACAAATCACCTCTGGAAACAGACCAAACACTGTTTCATTAACAGGCTGAATAGGCCATGCATCCAGTTCAAAGTAGTTTTTAAAAATGTCAACATTAATGACTGGGATGTCAAAGTAACAGGGTGTCAGTGGAACGACACAGCTGCTGTAGTGGGATTAGTGAGTGAGTGAGTGATTATCGCTCCATTTTTCCTCTGGAAATACCGCAGAGAATCATGATAAATATGTCTGGATCTCTCTGCAGCAACAAACAAGAAGCCTGTTGCATTTTAAACGGGTTGCCAATAAGCCACATCAATAATGGAAAGCTAAACTGAATGGAAACATGATTCACCTGCAGGAACACCAGGCACTGAAAACATCTGAATAAAAGAGAGGTCTAAAATAAAAAGACGAGGGATGCGTCATATGGAAAGTGGAAGGAGATTAAGGTGGCTATGTCTTGCATCATGGAAGAGAATGAGCCTGAAATAGAGCCACAAATAGTGGTGAAAATATATAAGAAATCAAAATATGAAGCCAGCCTATAAGATTGATATTAGCTGACTAAACAAAAGGGCTGATGGAGATACATGGACAGCAGTGTCATAGCTTTAAAAAAACAGTCCAGGTTCAATAAAGGAAAATCAGAAAATTAACACTGGATTCCCTATGAAAATTTCTAATGTTTTTCGTATGACAGTTTTAGAGAATTAATAATAAGGTATGAAGTTTAAATTAGTCTACGTGAAATTTCATGACTTTCATGTTTTGTTGTACAAAAAATTATATGCCTCAGGGGTGAATTCTAAAGCTGGTCTTTGTTTTTTTTTTTAATTAAACCCAAGAGACGGCTAAATTATTTAAAAATTGAAATATATCATGCAGACACTATTCAGTTACAATGCAAGTCTATGATGCAAGGCAGTGCAGCAAGAATAAACATTAAAAGCGGACATCTCGGCATGGATGAAAGAATATCACCTACAGCTCAACCTGGCAACAGTTTCCAAAGTATAGCCACAAGACTTCACAATACATCACATGATTTTGTTCACCAACATTTTCTCTGCAAAATTGTGTTTTTAACCTCCTTTAAAAAAAAAGGAAAAATAAATAACAAAATATATAATAAAGATTTGTCTAAAGAAATACATTTTATTAAAATAAAACATATATTAAAATAAAGCAAAACAAAATTACTAATTTTAAAAATAATAAATTTCAATAAAATAAATAAATTGATTAAAATAAACGTGATTGACTAAATAAAAACTATTTATTAAATAACTGAAGTAAATAAATAAATAAATGCCTTGATTTACTACTTAATACATCTAACAGTATAGTGCCATTTCTACTATTTCTACTGTAACGTAATCAAAACAAATAATATTTGACAATAATTTATTATATTAATTTTTCACAGTAATAATAATATATAGGCCCTAGCCTTTGACATTTAAGGATGGGGTGCCTTGCATGAAGACGATCAGAGTTGGGGCTCAGGGGGCATCTGAAAGATCGAACCCCCCTGTTCTATGGTAAAGTCATTTGAAATCCGACCACTTCATTAGTAAGCAGCAGTTAAAGCGCATTACCCATGAGCAGGTTCAGCATGACCTCCTGACCGGCGGCGCTGTCGCTTTTGTACAGGCAGTAGGCGGCACCGGCCAGCCACGGGATCCCGTGTCCGGAGATCTCGACGAGCTTCATGAGCGGCCGCACGCTGCCCCAGGACGCGTCCTCACAGGCGCACACCCCGAGGCGCTTCGACAGCCACAGGTCGATGGCCAGCAGAGAGCTGAGCGCGATCCCAATGAAGGACGGGTTCAGTTTCATACAGTCTTCCTCCGGTAACTGCTGCCCGCCGGTGGAGGAGGTGGACGAACCCGAGCCGCGTCGCCGGCTGGGGCTCTCGGATGCTCGGAGCCGGGCCGTGGTGGGATCGGAGCCCTGCCTCTGCAGCAGGTGCGGCGGGGGAGTCCGGCTCAGAGAGACGAACTCGTAGCGCCCGTTTCCACCGCCGCACGGAACACTGCCGCTGTGCGCCGCGCTGCTCCGCGCTTTGGGAGAAGGCATTTTACTTCACTAATGCCAAGACAGGCTAGTCCGATATTATTGGAATGTCTTCTGTGTTATAATATAGGTTTTGGGTCTGTCTTTTTCAGGTCGTAGTCTTACAGGTGATAACAGAGAGCTGGTCTTACTGGACTACCGTGCAGCGCCATCTTTGAAAACTAAGCAGCTCTCTGCGCAATGCACACTGGGGAAAAAAATGGTAACGTTATTCTTCAGCCATGTGACTACATTACAAAATAAGTTAACATAGTAATCACGTTAAATAATAATTAAGCACTATAATACAAAAGTGGATTTAAAACAGTACAAAAACGTATGATAGGTTTTAGATTCATTTGAATAAAATATTGAAATATTGTTCCACATCATCAGGTCACTCACATTCATGCAAGTACAGATCACTGCATAATTTGTTGAGTATTTGTGTTTTAGGATGAGTCTTTTGTACTTTACCTGACATACGATATTAGAATAAATGTTAGTTATTAAAAATACAAACAAGTAATTTATGAAATGGTGTTTAAGTATGAACAGCTTGTCGAATGTCAAAATTATTATAATAAACGCAAGGTAAAAATCAACATGAAGAAAGAAGCTGTTCTGCTACATCAGTTGTGGTTTCTTCCATGTGCAATGATAAAATATTGAATAAAGCAGAAAACACATAATTGCATTTGTCTACATTCTTTTGATTAAAAAGTCTTGCAGAAAAATGCAGTTACGTCTTATCTGCTCAATGCAATATTTTATTTATGATGTAGAGACATTAAAATTTATTTTAAAAACCCAGAGTTTTCTCAAGTTCTTCGTGTTTTTTACAGTCTATGGTTCTTCGTTTAATCTTTGAACTCTGAGAGGTGGCGGCGTGTCGTCCAATCAGAAGCATCGCCCCGCCCACCTCTGTCTTCCTGATACATATAAACCTCCATTCCATGGTCACACGTGCCGATTATAACACAAGGCCGAAGGAAAACAGTCATGCCTGGAATTCTGTTGGGAGACGTGTTACCTAACTTTGAAGCAGAGACTACAATCGGCAAGATCAAATTTCATGAATTCTTGGGAAATTCGTAAGTAGCTAAATAGATAAATTTTGTTTCTGAGCGAGCAGGCCTAATCGGACACGATCTATCTGCGTTTATTGTGGTTTGACACATTGACGCATGATCATTAGGTGGCTGATGTGCGACATTAACATGACCCGTTACCTTACCAATATAACTGCTTGTGATGGCATATAGCGATTTACATCCGCTTTTCTATGTCGAGCGTTATACTTGAACTGAATAATGTTATTAGCAATATTTTTATCTTGAAAACAAAATAAAGATTATTTCTTATTGCAGCAGAGTTGGCTTAAAGGGAGTTTGAAAGACCCTTAATGCTAAGTTTAAGCCATAAGAAATCTGCAGGCAGGAAGCTTTATGAATCTATGATAGTGCAAACCCTGGTTTTATTGCATGGAGTGACATTGCTGCACAGGAATGCACTCAGTATAATAGAACAAACAAACCGTTGTAGAATTCATAACTAGTATATTATGTAAATGCAACTATTTTAAAAAGGGTGCCACATATGAGGTCAAATCAAGAACCTTAAACAAATTAAACAAACAGCAAATTTCTCAAAGTTATGTCGGTGTTCTCTTTAAACCAGCTTTAAATTGTGTACAAAGTGTTTGTGATGGGGTGTAAAATGTGCCTAGTCATTATGGCTGCAAGATTAACAAGGCCAGTATTGTTGCGATTTTGGCAAGAGTGTAAAGTGTTTGCAAGTCCACCCATATTGTGCCAAAATTGTCTTTTATTTCATTTCATTTAAAATGTAATGTCTTAAGGTTTAGATTTTAAAGTCGAGTCAGTTTTATTTGTGTAGCACAATACACAGTTTCAAAGCCACTTTACAGAAACTCATTATGTTAATGTTTATAATATCTTAATATGTTCATACTTTGTTGCATTTAAAACTGTGCAGTAAAAACAACAGATTAAAACTGTGTGCGACCATGTAAACAATCAGACCCCAAAATTTTGATGTAGTATTTATTGCTTTGCATAAGAGTACTATATGGATGCAGGTAATTTTGGATGTACTATATATCCAACTTTAAATATATTTATGGGTGATAATATATTTTACATTTTGCTGTGTAGTGTGTGTATATAGTCTAATCATGCTTATATTTACATGATGCACTTATGGATTATAATGGGCATCTACAACCCATGTACGTGTGTCCAGTAGTGTATACATGGTATAACCTGTTTTAAATTGAAAAAAAAAAAAAAAAACACAAAAAAACGTGAAAGCAGTACGAGTTGTTTATTTAACGTGTCATCTCTTCATAGCAGAGTGGAAAAGTTTTGCTAAGCAGGCTGAGGTCAATGAACTGACCTGAAAAAAAGTTGCATTCTTAATATACAGTTGTGTAACTGTCCTCATTTGTCCCTTAATGCATTATCTAACAGAAGGGGGCCTGACTGTGGTCCTCATTTCAAGCCAAACTTCCTCCACAGTGTGTCTAGGAGGTTCTTCCCTCAGCGGAAGATGCTGAAATTGAAGCGTGTAGCAGATGTCGTGATGAATAAGAGGGTGTTTGGCAACCCTTCCTTCTACATTTCCCAACTGTGTAAAAACAAGTTTAACAAAACCATTTTAAAGTGTCACCTTTCAAACTTGTCTTCCAATTTACATTGTGAACTTCGAATGTTGTGAAAAGAGTTTGCAAGTGTTTGAGTTTCCTTTCATTGTGGCGATCATGTGACGCGACATCCAAAGAGTTTGGCGTTGCTTCTTTAACAGCAGTCGAAACAGCTGTTGGCCTTTGAATAAGAAGTGCTGCTCTGTGCATTTCTACTAAACCATACTGAAAATCTTTTGGGCTGAATGGAGATAATGTTATCTTTATCTAGCTAATGGGAGATTCCCAGAACTTCCCAGATATATAAAGAGTCTGTTTTCAGACGTGCTCAAATTCATGTCTCCAGGGAGTGAATGATTCTTTTCCTTATAACTTGGAAAAACATGTGACATGGTTACACAATATGACTAATTGTCTCTACACCCAGATGGTTTCCTGACACAACTGTTTTGTAATCTGCCACTTGTTACTTATCTAGTACAGGAACAAGCATGAATTTGTAATCAATTACCATTTAATCTGAATCTCCCATTATCTGTTGCACTTTTTATTAAATGGGTAATTTAGTGCGGGCAAGAATCTGCTTTTTAACTGGTGGTGATGCAGTATATTACTAAAGAGAAAACGGGCTGTGCTGTTCCTTTTTATCTAAAAGGTAGGAAGAATTAAATGCCTATAACACACTGGGCTTGATCCAACTGTCTATGAGGTGGGATACAAAACTGCAGAATTATGATCTGATGATTCTTTCACAAAGTCCTGGAGCTGTCAAAAGTCTTCCATTTACATATACTAAATTTTTTTTTTCCCTCTTTAGATGGGGTATCTTGTTCTCACACCCACGTGACTTCACTCCAGTATGCACGACTGAGCTAGCCCGTGCTGCGAAGCTTCACGATGAGTTTAAGAAACGTGACGTGAAGATGATTGCACTGTCCATTGACAGCGTGGAGGACCACCGCAAATGGAGTGAGGTCTGCAGTTTACATCCTACAAAAGAAATATTGAACCGTTATTATAATGACATTATTTGTAAATCTGAATTTTTTTCTAGTATTTTAATGTTAATAAAATACGATTAAATGTGTCATATTTAAAAATAATATCTGGTTCTATATCTGTTGCAGAAATTGCCTCCTGCAATTTTTATTGCTTCATTATACTAATTATTTTTTATGTCCTAACCTAAATCCCATGTACACTACTGTTGAAAAGTTTGAGGTTTGGAGTTTTTATTTTATTTTTATTTTTTGTAAATAAAGGAAATGAATAGTTGTATTCATCAAGGATGCATGACATTGATCAAAAGTGATAGTAAATATATTTATAATATTTCAAATGTAAGCTGTTCTTTTGAACCGTCTGTTCTTTAAAGAATCCTGAATAAAATGCATCACTCTTTTTCACAAAAATATTAAGCAGCACAACTGATTTCAAAGTTGATGATAATAAGAAATATTTGAAATGTCTCGAGCAGCAAATCAGCATATTAGAATGATTTCTGAAGGATCATATGACACTGAAGACTGGAGTAATGATGCTGAAAATTCAGCTATGCATCACAGGAATAGATTTTAAAATTAAAATAAAATTAAATCACTAAATTACATTAAATTGTCATACCATTTCACTATTATTGTTTTTACTTTATTTGTAATCAAATAAATGCAGTTACTTTGTAAGACTTCTTTCAAGAACATCAAAAATCATACCAACCACAAACTTATGAACAGTAGTGTACACTGATGAAATTGTATGATACTCATAAACAGACACTTAAGGGGTCACATGGTCCTACCTTTCTTAACTCCATTCTCTGATGCTGCATTGTTTTGGGACTCACTTAAACATCTAATCATTGGCCTGTAGCTCTTAGAAATGCACACAGAGGACTTCTCTGATTGGTTCTTACTTTAATCCCGAGAGGTGACTCTCTCTGATACTCTCCCTGAAATTCTCACTGAACAGTTTAACAAAAGGGCTGATTACATGTTACTAGACATCTGGCTTCCCAAGGGTCTGAACTTGGCCAAACGTTTCATAATAACACTAGAAAATGCATTAAGAACTAGTTTGTAAAGCGTTGAGGCACACAGCTTTTCCTGCTGCTGCTGTTATTTTACGGTCTGATGGTTTTAATGCTAACTCTTTTACTGGATATAAAGACATACTTTCACACCCACATGTGCCTTTGGCTGAACTCTTGTTTTCAAATTCATGTAAATGTTGCAGACACCCGGTTCCCACAAGACAATGTGTTTTGTGCGATGTTAGTCACTGGTAAACCACACCACTCTTTACTCGTATACGAATATCCAGATGTATACATATACTGTAATGCTCGTAACTGTAAAGCATAAAAATAAACCAATATTTTCCATTATTTATGGCTTTGAATTTGTAAAGGAGTTTTTATATTTACTAAAAGTTTTAATTTACTGTTTCTTCCAACAAGGCTTCACAAGTAAGGATGACTGACTGAAATCTGCAAAAACAGTGAATATGACTTCATAGTTCTGTATCTTTTGCTCTCTCTAGGACATCATGTCGTTTAAACAAGACAAAACCTGCTGTCCCGTGCCTTTCCCCATCATAGCAGATGACAAGAGGGAGTTGTCGGTCTTACTGGGGATGCTGGACCCTGATGAGAGGGATAAAGATGGGATGCCCCTCACTGCCCGCTGTGTGAGTTTCCATCGCAACCATGCTTTAATTGTTCTCAACGGGTTATTGAAGCTAAAAAAAACTCAAAAACCAGTTTTTTTTTTTGTTACTTGAAATGAAATGAATGTTAAATTAACAATTTTTTTCAGCTAGTTGCGAAAGCAACACTTCTAATTTTCATTTAGTTATATACTAAAATAACTAAATATAGAAATTAATAATTTATATAGATTTTAAAACTAATATAAATACATACAAAAATAAATATTGTGCTGACACATAATCTGCTTGAATTATTTGTAAAAAAATTTCAATAAATTACATTTATAATATGTATTAATTTTAATATTAATATTAAATGTATAATACTTTTAATATAATATTTAGTCCTATATCTGTGATACCATGTGAATACCATGAATTTTTTTTAAGGGGATGTTACCAAAGTTGCAGAATTTGCATTCTGAAAATATTTTCATTGCTTTATTATACTAATTATTTTATATTTCCTAACCTAAATTTCATATGCACTACTGTTCAAAAAGGAGTTAATGCTGTTGAAATGAAAAAATGTGAACTGAAATAAAATCTAAAGTAAACAAATTTTATTATAATTATTTTGGCTAGTTGCCAAGGCAGCATTTCTTATTTCCATGTAGTTATGTACCAAAATCACTAAAACAAAAACCAAAATAAAAAAATACTATTTAGACATTTTAAAACTAATAATAATGACAAAATTGCAACAACAAAATGACTTAAAAAAATTTAACTAAAGTAAAAATGGAAAATATAAAAATAAAAACTAATTCAAAATATTACAATTCTAGAGATGTAACAGCATCTCAATGTTACTAAAATAACACTGGTTCTTAATCAGGGGGTCCCAATTAGTCTTAATTTGTATTTAATTATATTAAAGGGGTCATATGATGCGATTTTTAAATTTTTCCTTTCTCTTTGGAGTGTTACAAGCTCTTAGTGCATAAAGAAGATTTGTAA